TCTCTGGTTCTGAGGGCTGGCAAACAGGCAGGAGAGTACGCTAATAATAATGATTAAAGCCACAAAATCTCTTCTGGCAGAGGAACAGAAACTAAAGGGTATATGGGGGGGGGGGGAATGTTTGGAGTCCCAGGTTGGAGGAGAAAATAGTCAGCTGAACCACAAATGAAAATCCTTTTTTGGTTAATACCTTCCTTCTTGTTCTTCCATAAAAACAACGAACCCAGTTCAGCCCCTCCCCTTTTGATTATTTGATCTTTGATTCTTCCCATCTCTTTTTTGTTTTGTTCTGTTCTGTTTGTTTTGTTTAGAGACAGGGTTTCTCTGCGGCTTTGGAGCCTGTCCTGGAACTCACTTGGTAGACCAGCCTGTCTCAGCCTCCCGAGTGCTGGGATTAAAGGCGTGTGCCACCACTGCTCGGGGTCTTCCCACCTCTTAAATCGCACATTCATTACAAACCGGAGGCTAAAGGGAATCTCGACTTCATCCTACCCAATATTGTCAGTCCGGACAGTGTTTCTATTTCTGCCTTCCTCAGCGATTGCCTGTATTAGCTACCTTTTCTCTGTTAGACCTCCTTAAAGGAGGAAGAATTGATTTTGGCTCATAGTTTTAAGGTTTGGTCCATCTTGGTAGGGATGATGCTGCAGAACAATTTTTTTGCTCCATAGAAGGTCTGGGAACAAGGAAAGGAAATATCAATAGACAGTTTTTCCATCTAAGCCCATCCCCCCGTCATCTATATTCAGGTTGGGTTGTTCCCCTCAGTTAATTCTTTCTGGAAATGCTCTTCTAGACACAATAGAGGTGTGTCTATCCCTTGGGTGTGCTAAACCCAGTTGTGTTGACAGTGAAGATTAGCAACATATTCCTCCAAGGGTTTTCATTATCTTTCTTCAGCTGCCCTTTCAAAAATACATACTTGGATGGCAAGCTCTCCTGTTTTTCTTACACACTGTTTAGGGAGCACACGACAGCATTCAAACCGTCTGACCTTACTTAGGAACTTCTGCATTTTCCTCTGTAAGCTATTTGGGACTTCACTCTCCTGTTCATACAATGTTGCATGTAGAGTGAAGATTTCCCTGTTGCCTGTCAGTTAAGGAGTTGGGGATAAGCATATTCTGCTTTGTGAACGGAAAGCAGGTAATTCAAGATGCAGAGAAAAAGAATGAAGGAGGAGGCGGCAGGAGGAAAATTTCAGGATTCCTAACTGCTTCACAACCCTGACTCTAACTCCTTCCTGGTATTCAGCTGTATGTCTGGCCATAAAGTTCTTGACATGTTTAATTCCCATAGTAATTTCCCATCAGATTCTCTAGAGGAACGGAACAGATAGGATGAATATACATTGAAAGAGGATTTGGTCCAGCAAGACAGCTCCGTGGGTAAAGGTGCTTGGTGGGCAAGTTCAGAAACCTAAGTTTGATCCCAAGAGCCCATGTAAAGGTGGACAGAGAAAACTGACCCCGCAAAGCAACCCTCTAAGCTTTACATACACTCAGGCCCAAGTGCATGTATGCACATTAAATCCCATGTTTATGGCCATGCCTCCCTGGCTCACAACCTCACCACTTCTACCTAAAGAATCAGTTGCTCAATCTATTTCAGGTTATTTCCTCTTAGTACATCTTCATTTGCATCTCTGCTTTGCCCATCAACAAAGTCAACCTCCTGGGCCTCCACTCCAGCTGTCACAGAAGTTCAAGAGTTCCTAGAGGTTGTCCAAGGCCAGAATGAGGCCAGGATCTAGATGTGCCACTGTACTGTCACAGACTGGGTGAGGGTCTTATCCAAGGTCTACCCTTAGTCTCTTTTCCAAACACTGGATTATTATAAAGTGCCTCTAAAATGTCACTATAGGTCACCAGAATGATCTTTGAAATAGATACTCAATGCTGGTCAAGGCCAACATTTATGAACCTACTGCTGTGAACTAATGACTGCCTTCAGGTCTGCATGTGCATTATTCCTCCTTAAAGATGAAAGGATAAGTTGAAGAACCAGGATTCAACCAAGCTGTCTAACTCCTTGTGTGTTTCATGAAAAAGTCGGGGTGGATTTAAAAGTGTAGGTAGCTGAGAGGTGAAGTGTGTGCCCAGCATGAACTGAAGATGCCCTAAGTTTGATCCCCAGCTCCCCATTAAAAACTATGATGCAGAGGACACTTGTCTCAACTCTTGGGCTAAGATTGAGTAAGAGAAGTCGTTAGCGAGAAGAGATGGACGTGGCATGACTGAAACAGGAAGGAAGCAGGTCACAGTGGGTGAGAGGCTAGGAAATGAAGCCAATTTCTAGCCGTTAGAGAGCGAACCTGCTCCCCTGCTCCCTCTCCAGCATGCTTCCTTCCTGCTCCTGTCCAACCACGTCCTGAAATGCCCTTTCTGTTTTCCTTCTGCACACCCTGTCTATCCAGGAAGCCGCCTCCAGTCCTCACCCGCTTCACTTTCCCTGACCCACGCCCCCACCACACGCACGCATGTGCACACACACACACACACACACACCTCCGCTACACTACTCACTGAAACGCTTAACCTCACAAGGCTTGAGATTGTTATTTAGCATTTGGAGGTGTTCGATGTGTTTCCTGCTTGTTCCTCCAAGTCAATGAAGACTACTGATGCCCCAGGCTATGTGTTAGGAGCGCTTCCTTAGTTCCTGTCTGCAACCATTCCTTGGAAAGTGAATCATGTGTTGGGCATTCATTGAACATTTGTTGACTCAAATCCCATCATTGCACGGAAACTTCTAAGTGGCCTTTGCATGAGTGAAGTCTCAATCTTTAACTTTCTATTTGCATGTGGCATCCTAGGGAGAGCCATTGTTTGAGACAGCTTCCAGAATTTCTGCTTACTAAGTATGGTTTGAGTTATTTCATGCAGACAAAAAAAAATAAGTAATCATTTGTTTCCGGAAAACATTCTTCATAACATTATTACTGGCATCTCACACTGACATAATTTTAGCTGAACTGTGATCACAGATTCCCACTCTCCAAGCTTCTTTTGGAGCCAACTTTACTCTCCTGCAGCTTCTTAAGACTGGCAGCTAAATCTTCATATGAAGTAGAAACAGTCATCTGTTAGAAAAACAATCTAGTTAAAAGTCCAATGTCTGTGTTCAACACGAGCAGTGACAGGCAAGTATCTTTCACAGGACAACATGAAGACTTTCAGGCCAGAATCATCTGAGAATTCATAGCACAAGGCTCTCAAAATTCTATCCAAGCCAAGAGTGTCCTGGTATCCCAAAATCTTTGAAACACCCATCGTAGAGTTTCTTACTGTTGATAAATTCTCATAGTCCAATTTTGTAAAATTATTCAAATTTCTTACATGTCTTCCAATTAGGTTTCAAGATATAAGTAAAAAACGAAAACATTTTTATATTTCTTTGTGTAATTTGTAACACTTATTCCTAGGAGTTTGAAATTATAACTGAGCGAATGAAATTGACTCATGATTAAGTCAATAGACATTTAAATAACTTTTTCTATCAAACATCACAAGGATTTTTTTTTTGGAATTTCGTATTCAGAGCCTGTTATCATCTTTTGTTATGTTTTACTTTTAAGTGTATCTGCTATAGCTGACCCGAGGAATGCTGGACTGAAAGGATGTTACAGAAACCTGAGAAGTGTTACCTTTCTGCTAAAGAAGGTTCATTCCATTCTGGCTGTGCTTCCTCCTTGAGCCAGTGCTAGGCAGATTGTAGGCCATATTTCTATATGGTGTGGCAGCCAGGCTCTGAAGCCATAGGCCCCACCTGAGGTGGTCAGGTAGCCCTGCAGACAGGTTGTCACTGCCCTAACAAAAGCCAGGATGTACTGCTCCTTTCTGCTCTGTTAAAAATGTAGATCGCCTGGGGAGAGGTGTTTGCCGAAGCTGATGACTAAGTTGCCGGTGTTTCCCTAGCCCCAAGTCCCCCAGAAAGAAAATATTAATGAGGTATCCACCTTGGGTTACCTGCAGGGGGGAAAAGATGTTTTGTATAATAAACGCGGGTAGATCTTGAGGATGAGGAGAAGTCTGAGATGCCCTTCCGTGATGACTGTGTGAACTGTGTCTGATTATTTCTCGTGCCTCCACACTGGTCCAGATAGGGAAAGATAGTTTCTATGTTGGGGCCTACGGTCCCTGACAGCAGATACTCCATAGACACAGCCCTTACTGCCTTACTCAAAAGATATGGGTGGGTTCCTGGGTTCACTTTTCTTGTTGCTACAAATACCCAAAAAATCTCTGACACCTGCTCACAAGGAAAACAATTTTCTCCAGTGGAGCCTCACTGGGTACACAAACAGCACTTAAGGCCAGGCCCTGTGCCCAGCAGTGGATAGTGGATGGACTGCAAAGTGAACTTAATGCTACTTTTGGATGTGTGTGTGTGTGTGTGTGTGTGTGTGTCTCATATTACTTTGTTTGGACATCTTTTATCTTACCAGTCTTTTGCTTGTATATTATGGTTTCCAGTTTTGTGTTTTGATGGTTTTGTGGTTTGTTTGCTTGTTTGTTTGTTTGTTTTTATGTGTGTTTGTGTGTCTGTTGTATCTTTTCTTTCTTTAATTTTAATTTGCTTGTTTGTATTCTAAAGAGAAAGTGTGGAGTTGGATGGTGGTGAGGATCTGGGAGGAGATGAGAGAGGGAAACTGTGATCAGAATACACTGTGTAGAAAAATTATTTAGAAAAACTGACAGAAACAATATAAGGAAGGGCGGGTTCATTTCAGCTCACAGCTTAGGGGACACAGTCTGTCGTAGGAAGGCATGGCAGCTAGAGTGGGAAGTCACTGGTCATATTGTATCATCAGCCAGGAAGCAGAGAGAGGTGGATGCTGGCAACTCTAGCCTGTGGGATAACGCCACCCACAGGCAGGGTCAGTCTTCCCTCCTCATTTAAACGTCTCTGGAAATACCTTCAGAGACATTCCTAGAGGCGAGTCTGTTAGCACATCCAAATCCAGTCGTTTACAGTGAAAGTTAACTACAGCAACTTACACACAGGGTGGGCAGTACTTCCGCTCTGTATCTGCCAGCATCTCTGGTTCCTAATAACATGGACAGTTGTTAGGAAATCCGCGACTCCTGCAGAAAGACCACAGACTGGATCTTACGTACAATTAGTTAAATTTATTGGTGCTGTTAGCAGAACAGTCTCTGAGCCAAACTTGATATCATCTTGAGAAGGGAGGTGAGGGAAGGGTTTTCAAAGGCAAACCCTGGGAAGACCTTGAGTTTTTGTACTTGAAAGAAAGTCAAGAGCTGCTTTGCTCTGCTAAGATTAGGTAGTGAAGGTGATCTCAAAATAGTCCTTAAATGTCTGCATAAGTTGGTTATAGAAGCCAAAAGGTAATTAGTCATATCATTACAAGTGGATGGTCGCGGCTGTACATTTTTGGGTGGGGGTTACTAAGTTGGGGTTACTGGGAACTTATCTTCCAGGGACTGGAGTCACAGACAAATGGCTAGTGGGTACCAAGATGGATGCCTGGCATACAAGGGATTTCTTCAGCCATCACAGTGTTTGCTGAGACAGCTCACATAGCAAGCAGCTGGTACACTTACTAGTCCCCTGCCTAGAAAATAAAAACAACTACTCATGAGAAGAAACTGATCTATTGTGTGAGAGTACAGTTGATCTAGTCTACAGTCAAACCTTAGGACCTTGGCTCTATGTCCTCACTCCATGACCAAAACAATTTACAGAAGAAAGAGCTTGTTGGGGGCTTAGAGCCCAGAGTGTGAGTCCACAGTCACCGTCGAAGGGAACATGGCAGCAGGCATGGCCCTGGAGCAGCCGCTGAGAGCTGACACTCGAGACAACACCCACAAAGCAAAGAATGCCATGGGAAACCTCAAAACCCACACGGAGTGATTCCCCTCCTCCGACAGCAAAACCTACACCTATGCAGTGGTTCTCAGCCTTCCTAACACTGCAACCCTTTAATACAGTTCCTCAACTTGTAGTGGACCATAAAATTATTTTCTTTGCTACTCCGTAGCTGTAATTTTGTTACTGCTATCAATTGCAATGTAAATATCTGTGCTTTCCAATGGGCTTACGCAAGCCCTGTGAAAGAGTTGTTTGACCCCAAAGGGACCTCCACCCACAGGTTGAGAACCACTGACCTAGTGGAACATCTATTCTGAGTACCATACACACACACACACACACACACACACACACACACACACAAACACACACACACATTCACCAAGCAGAAGTGCATCTCAGTCAGTGTGGTTCAAGTTTCTCACCTCAACAAGTTGCCCGCGGAGATCTGCATCTCCCCTTCATACCAGCCCGGGACCAGACACAGTATTAAAAAGCATTTTCCTGTGGGGAGAGAGGAAGAACTGAGATATGCTACTGAGCTTTTCATCACTGTGAGGTCACACCAGAGGCAGTCAACATATTAAATTTATTTTGGCTCATCTTTATGGAGGGTTTTATACTTTAAAATCCGTGTGTCCTGGGAGAGCAGCTTGAGATCCGCCTGTCTGAGACTGGCTGTGGGTCCCTGCAAGATCTTGGCAAGTGGGCCATGTGGCGGCAGGCAGACACATGGCAGGCGGGCAGACGACAGAGACGTGGATAGACACAACATGTAGAGTGAGATTGAAATATTTATTCAGGGGGTTATGGAGGGGAAGGGGGAAGGGGGACAGAGAGGGAGGGGGAGAGAGAGAGAGAGAGAGAGAGAGAGAGAGAGAGAGAGAGACGGGGAGACACCCGCAACCCCAAGAGAGGACAGTAAGTCAGAGATCCAAGATGGATGGTGGGGAGAGGTCAGGGGTCGCCAGGAGTGGGCGTGGCTTGCCCCTTAAAGGGCCAAAAGCATAACAGAGGGTCTAGTCTGAGATTGGTTGGCCCTTCTTACTTGAACCAGTGGCCAGGGAGCAGAGAACTGCCAATCATCTTACAAGCCAGGGAGCAAGGAGGGCGTTAGTGCTCTGCACCCCACTTCAGTGACTTGGACCTCTTGCAAGGCCCCACTTCTTAAAGATTCCACCCCTCCTGTGACCTTGATGCTGAGTCTTTCCACTGCCTCCAGCTAGTGACACCTTGAAGCTGTCTTTGTGGGGAAGGGGAGCACTCACCCCATAGCTCATGGAAAGTGCCCACCCGTTCTGTAGGGGACTGGAAGCATAGCTTCACAGGTCAGGGCTCTCAGATCGGCTGCCAGAACACGGGCTGAACTTTAAACCAAGGCTGTCATTCCTGAGCAGAGGTTCCTCACCAAATCACCCTTCCTGTTGCTGTTTTCCTAGTCACCAAGCCGTATCATCAGATTAGGTGCCCCTCAGCATCCCAGGTTTCCTCTTCCTATGTACAATGGCAGCTCCTAGTGTCTGGCTGATTCTCACGCTAGACCAGAGAGAGCTGGGAGGACTAAGGAAACCAGCCACCTTCTTTAGCTGCCTCTTGCAACAACGGCTTTATTCCTTCCTCTGGCTAACCTCGGACAGATGTGTAAGAAATACTGTTGCTTTTTTCTTTTTTCCTTTCACTGTTTCATTTTTACTTTCAATTCCATCTCACACTGTGTGGCATCTTCCTGGGGGAGGGAGGCCCCTAAGGTTTCGAGTTCCGTGCCTGGGGGCTCTGGAATTGGTAACATTCCAAACTGGTGTGATGTTTGCTCTGTTCTTAGCCCCACCAGTTCTCTGAGTACTACCAGGAGAAGCCCCTCCCCACTCTCCAAGGCTGGGAGAGTCCACCACCCCCTTCTTCCCTCCCCATCAAGGACACCAGGCACAACTTTCTGGTTTTAAAAATCGTAAGTCAGAAGGGGAAGTGTTTTGCCAGCAGCTTCTGCTTTCCGCCCTCTGAAGCAAGACTGGAGTGTGGCTTCCTGCTCAAGGAGAGAAGAAAAAGGGTTGGGGGAGGAGGGAATCTTACTTCAGGAAAGTTTACAACCATCTATCAAGCTCCCACCAGAGTGCTCACACCCTCATCCCAAATAGAGACACACCCTGCAGGGTAAAAGACATTTGCAGACTGGATTGAGCGAGGACTTTGATATGAGGAAAGCCTGAATCATCTGGTGGAGCAGGTTCTTAAGAGAGAGAGATTGAGGCCAGTGGAGTCAACCATAGAGATGAAAGCGGCGGAGGCGGCGGAGGTGTTCCTCTGCTTTTTTTTTTTCTTTTGATAAGGGAGGGGGCTACAAGGTGTGGAATGCAGGTCACTTTCCAAATCTATGAGAGGCAAGGAAGTCTCCTGAGAGCCTCCAGAGAGAGCACAGGTCTGTACCTTAAGGTTAGCTCAGAAGGACTGAATTTGGACCTCCGTCCTCCAGAACTGTTGAGACAATACATCTGTGTTTTAAGACACAAGTTTGTAGTAATTGGATACGTTAATAACAAAAGGTCATAGCTGGAGGAAGTTTTATACAGAAAATTACAGAAATGTTCATACAATTGAATTCTCTTTCTCTTATAAGTAGAAGTTGAAAAGCAGGTATTAGCATACTGAATCTGAAATAAATATGCTGTGTTTAACCAGAAAGGGGCTTGGAGGGTAGTGTTTTGGCTTCTAACTGTATTTTCCCCACACCATCTGAATGGTACCTAGGACTTCCCTTGTGCACTGTTTACGGGTGCAGACGATCCCAGCTGTGAAGACGGCAGCGCTGAGCTTCTGGACACTTGGAAGACGGTACCCATATCTGAGATACAGAAATTGATAGAAGGGTTTTCTTTGCTTTTACTTTTCAAGTCAGGGTTTCTCTGTGTAGCCCTGGCTGTTCTGAAACTCACTCTGTAGACCAGGCTGGCCTCGAACTCACAGAGATCCACCTGCTTTTGCCTTCCAAGTGCTGGGATTAAAGGCATGCATCTTTAAAGTTTCCAGGAATAAATTCTTTTTAAATATCACCAGACGCACCCTGTCAGAATGCTGGGCATGGCATTCATAGCACAAGTGGCAGAGCAGAACTAATGTGCTATTATGTGGCAGCAATTCCCACCCAAAAGGAAGGCATTGTCAACGGGAAGGGTCAGCACTCACCTTCAGTGGGGCTCTCAGAGAGTCTGTGGTTTACATACCGTGTCTCTGGGCCCAGCAATGACAGGTCAAGAGGGTAAGGAAACAGAGGGAACCCTTGAGTATCCAAGGACAGGCGTATCCGATGGCCCTCCAGGCAGCAGGTTTCAGTGAAGCCCTTCAGCTGGGATGGGGGTGGGGGTGGGGAACAGCATGTGGTACCACAAGACCCTGTAGCCCAGAAGCACCCTCACCCTCATTCCCCAGTAAGGGGATGAAATCTAGTTTCTCTGCCTTAGTTCGTTATTCACAAAGAGATTGCTTGATAAAGTCTTCATGACGTAAGTCTGTGCTGAGTGAGATATCTTCATCTGGGGAGGGATGCAGACAACTGCATTTCCTATATCAGAAATCTGTAGTCTGATGAAAATCCATGTGGAAGCAAAACATCTGTTATCCAAGAGTTGCATTCCTCCATTCAGTTCATGGGATTTAAAGAGCTGGGTTTTTATATAAAGAAAAAAAACCCAGCTGTCCTTGTATACTGTAATTTTCTCTCCTAGGCCAATATAAAATTAGATTTTACAGAACTCTTGGGGTTCTTTTTTTACACTTAGTGTGTATGTGTGCACACACATGTCTGTGCACGCGTGAATGTGCCAAATGAAAGTGTAAGGACAACTTGGTGTGGGAAGCTCTGGCATTCTTCCACATAGGAATCAAATGAAAGTCATATATCTAGGCAAGCACTGTTACCCATTAGCCATTTCACCATCCCAATCCTGCTTTAAATATGCATTCTTTTACAGCAAGAGTGTTTCCCCTTACCAAACACGAGCTTTTCATTTAAATTCTTCTATTCTGTTACATATCTTGAATAATGTTCTTTAAAAAAAAAAACAAGTTTAGTTATTGAAAGAGTTTGAAAATAGTAATAAGGCCTTCGTTAACAATTAACAAATTTTAAGATATTAATATGAAACATTAAGAATTTACGTAAAAACTCCATGTGTTCTAGATCAGTTTGATAGCAGCTGCTTCTAGACTTGTCAATACTTTCTTTTCAGATGCGTGACCCATACTCCAGACCCTGCTCTCCTCTGGCCCACACAGAGGCCTGCTGTGCTTACTCTAACAGATGAACAGCACAGATCTTGGGGACAAGCTACCACAACTTAACAGCACTGATACCAGACCACTTGGGGCTCCAGACATGCTGAAGTGTGTCAACAAGGGCCCAGTGGGTCCTGACTTTAACAGGCAGAAGAAAGTTCAGCGTGGTCAACACTATAGCAGCTGGCAAACCCTTTTGAGCAGCGTGAGACAGCAGCGTGAGACAGCAGCCTGAGTTTACCCTGGAAGCCAGGCTAAGAATGGGCAGTTCTCCCTTCCTACTCCCGCCGTAAGAGGTGAAGACGAAACTGAAGGCAGAGACCTAACTGCGGGGCCGGCTGACCTCCACAAAGGCTCCAGGGTCTATGTGTTACTTGTTACATACATATGCTGCACAGAGAGCTTCAAATGGCTGCTGCTCAGATGCAAACCTAAGACTCTTGTGGAAGAAGGGCAGACCACAGCCTGATGTCAATAGTGAGATGGTCTCAAAACCCTCGTGGCCACTGTGTAAGGGAGAGTGGAAGCACGGAGCCCTGTCCTGGACACAGTGTAAACACTGGACAACAGGCAGCCCCCTCGAAATCTTCACAAAGTGTGTACAAGGAAATACGTACATAATCACTTCAGAAAGTTTAAAATAATCTCTAAAAAGTGTACACAGGGTTTAAAAGGTTTCGGGAGCTGCTGCCCTGCGATATGAGGAATGTGACGTTGCTGGATGGCTGTGTAGTGTGGCCTCTGCTTGGGAGGAGTCAGAGGCCTTGGGCCAGACTTAAGAGGCACCTAGCCATCCTTGCCAACCCATAGCAAAGCTGCCAAGTGACCCCAAGAGTTGCAGGGGGAAAGGTACAGTCCCTGGGGAAAAGCACTGCAACTAAAGGAAGATTTCTGGCTGAGACATTTATTTCAATATCAAAAGGAAGATCAGTTCATTCTGACCCCCTCCGAATTTCAACAGACTGATTTATGGGAATTCCTGATCTGGGATCTCAGGGGCCCATGGGAGAGATGTAGGACACCCAGCCCAGTTCTCATTTTGCTTCTTTAGAAATGAAGAAGAGGTTTAAAAACATTACAGAGCTGATCTGTTCTTCAAAAGGCAGACCCAAGCTCTCCCAGCAAGGCAGGCAGGACACAGAGATGCCTGGACAGCCACATGGTTTGTTAAGGCCAGGTCAGCCAGAAGGTCAGCAGGAGAACAAGAGAAGGAAGGCCCCCAAGGGCGTGAGAGCTCAGGTCAGAGGCTGGGAAGTGAGGCCTAGCTGTCCTCCTCGCCCTGGTCCTCATCCTCTGGGAAGTAAGCTTGCTTCTTTCGAACACTCCAGTGCAGACACTGGCAAGGCTCTCAAACCAGTCACTCACAGGGTCACACACACAGATAGAGGGCAGCGGGCAGCAGGAGGTGGTGATGCTGATGCTGTCTCCATGGCGTAGTTCCTGCCTTTTCTGTCCATCAAACGACACCCATGCAGTGTTCTGGTGACAGAATAATCTTCAGGTCGACCCCTGCTGGGACCACGATGGACCGGAATGACAGCGAGTGGGGGCAGATGGGTGTAGCCATGATGGCCGGCACATTGGGGTGGACCATGGAAGGACCAGCTGCAGCTGCATATGCTGTGTTGCCCTTCGGGGTGGACGCGATCATGCCATCGCCCTGCACAGTGGTGATAAGGTGTCCATCCAGGTAGACATCTACATTCAACAGTTATGAGGAGGGGCCTCTGTCGATCGCCACTTCATTCAAGACCTGATACTGCATGGCCTGCCTGCCTTCTGCCCTCTGTGTCCAGGCCGTTCTCACTGAGGCCATTATGGATGGCTCTAGGCTCTTCCACGACCCTGACCTCCAGCCGGCTCCTCAGGATGACCACGGCATTCCCCTCTATCACCTGATTCACTTGGGATTGGAAGTTCTCAAAGTTGGCCATGATAGGAGGCACAATGCCCTGGAAAAGAGAGGAGGCATACAGCAGGGTACCATCTCCTCTGAGGCAGATGATGAAGTCTATCTGGTTGGAAATGTCATCATAATCTTTTTCTTCACTGGTCCAAAGTTTTCATCACTCACTATAGCAGGGTCTTCCAGCACTTCCTTTTCCACATACACAATCATGTTGCTCTCCACCGTGAGGCATATGCAGACCTCTTTGAAGGGCTGCAGTAGGCTGGCATCTCGGATCTTTTGGATGACAAGCACACTCTTGGGAAACTTGTTCCATGTCAACCGCTGGCTTGTAGGGTCCTGGATGTGCATGATGGTCTGGGGGTTCTGTAGCACGCAGGCCTTTGGTCCAAACGTGGTCACTGGGCATGGCCCATGGAGAGAGCGGGTCCTCCTGAACTCCTTGGTGCTACCCAGGGCAGGTGGGGTTGCTAGGCTTCGAGACTTGGCCTGGCCCCAGATGGGATGGTTGTAGCTCCAGGTCTCATCCCCATGACATGCTGAACAGTGGTAGGAGGTCGAATCAGGGCCCAACTCCTTACTCACATTCATCTTTTCTTGTTCCATTTCCATAGTTGATATGAGAAAAACACTGATGCCATCAGCTGCCGCGCACCCGCGTGGATGTCTACATGCTGGGCCGAGCCAGCGGTCCCTGCTGCCCTACTGCTACCTGGCCCTCAGTGACCCAGCCGCCCGACAACCCATAGTCCTTGAATAATGTTCTTAAAGACAAATTTGTTATTTTGTTTCTATGCCTTCATGTGTATATGTACCGCATGTGTATATGTATTGTGTCGTGTGTGTGTGTGTGTGTGTGTGTGTGTGTGTGTGTGTGTGCCACAGGTGTGCAGGTGTCTGTGGAGGGAAAAAGAGATTGTTGGATCTCCTGAAACTAGAGTTACAAGAGGATGTGAGTTACCCGTTGTGGGGGCTGGGAACGAAACCCAGGTCTTCTGGAAGAGCAGCAAGTACCCTTAACCCCTGAGCCATTTCTCTAGCCCTTTTTTTGGATAATTTTTGATAAGAAATGTGGCCTTAATTAATACAGAGAAAGAGACCCACAGTGATTGATAGGTCCCAGGCCTTGACTTTGGCACACCCACCTGGCCTCCTGGCTCCCTGCAGCTGGTCTCAAATTACAAACCACTCCATAGCCTTTCTAATATTCTGTTACTTCTTCACCCACTCTGAAAACAAAGAAGCAGAAGGCTCTCCAGACTACGGCTTCTCAAACTGGACTGTGTGGCTCTTACTAAAATGTCCGGTAGATGATGACCACAAAGCCCTGACAGCTGCCCTTGCCCCAGCTCCAGGGGAACGGCCCATCACACAGCGTCTCCCTCCTTACCTCCTGTGTGTGCAGAGTGCAGCTGACCCACTATCTATCAGCTTCCACATCCACAAAGTTGAACAACTGTGGTTTGAAAATAATTTTTCAAATTTGAGTGTATGTCAAAGCTTTCTTCCGGTCTTTGGTTCCTAGACAATATAATGGTACAACTGTTGACGCTGCGTTCTCCCTGATAAGGCATCTATATCTGATGTAAAGTATGTGGCAGGACTGCCTGGGGTGCGTGCAGGATGTGTGGGGGATGGGTGGGGGCTTTTTTATGTGAGGCACTTGGGATTTGGATCAGGGACAATCCTGGAACCAACTACCAAAAGAAAGCTGTATTTCTATGCTCTTCATATTTAAAAACACATTTGAGATAATTTTTTAAAAAAAAAGTGCTTATTGTTAAGTTTGGATCTTAATTGCCTCTCCAAAGCTGGTGCGCTGAAGACTCAGTCCTTGACTGCCAGAGCTGTGAGCAGATGGTGGACACAGGAGGCAGGACCTAACCGGAAGAGCTATGTTAGGACCCTTCCTCTCTCCTTGCTCTCTTTGCTGGGTTGCGGCTGTGAGGTGAGCACCCTGCTCCTGCTACCTGTTCTGCCTTACTTCCAATGCCAGCTGAATCCTCTCTTTTGGCTTCTCTCAGTATGTACCACAGAAAGTAACATACTGTTAGAGATTGACATTCACTGGGCCTGCGGTCACTGTTAGTGAGTGTGGGTCACCATAATCACATGAGCACATATGATTTTGCTCTAACCCAGCGCTTCTCTCGTCTCACAGAATGCTAAAATCCCTGAACCTGTTTTTAAAAACGCCAGCGCCTGCCCAATCCCCACTTCCATGCACATCAGAGCTGGTAACTGGTTTAGGGATGAGGAAGAAGTACCAAGTATTTCTCAGAAACTGTCTGAGACTCAGAGGCAGGAGCCAAGGAGAAGCAGGCCAGTCCTGCAGAGGAAGGCACTCCAGGTATGCCACTTCATTGTTACCCATTAACCCAGGTATCCGTGCAGTCACGTGAAAGCTGAGTTAAATTATACAACTCACATAAAGATCAAAGCCTGCAACTCGGGGTAGAGGGGTGCTCTCAGTAAGGGAAATGATACAGGAACAATCCCCCATGCCCCACTTTCTGTGGTCCGTGGAAGAAAAGTGGGGAGATAATAAAGTTTCAGCACACCTACTTAAAGGGGACTGTCCATTTGCTTTCCGGAAGCCTCATCTTTTACTAGCTAAACCTTCTAAAGTTGGAGAAAACCAGAAGATGTGGTCAAAGTTTCTGGAACTAAAATGTCAGTCAAGCAATCCCTTAGTAGAAGAAAAGTCTTTCCAGTGTGTCTGTCACTCTGGCTATGAAGTCAACCTGTCAGGGTTAGAACAGGGTCTGAGCAGTGCTCGTGATTAATTTCTACACTGTTAAAATTGGCAGTGGTGCTGAGGATGGGGCTATGGATGTAAAAGAGTGCATGTCTCTAAGAGTGATGTTTATGTATGTACGGTTGTGATGTAGGACCCATCCACCCCACTTTAAAGAACGGTGCAAGGGTTAAGGACATGGCTCAGTGGTGCCAATTACTTGCAGTGCAGGCAGGAGGACCTGAGTTTGGATCTCCAGCCCCCACATAAAAGCTGAGCATGGTGGAGGCAAAGACAGGACTATCCCTGAGGCTTACTGCCGGTCAGTCTAGCGAACACGTCAAGTGTCAGGTTCAGTCAAAGACACTGCCTCAAAAAGTAAGGAGGAGAGCAATACAGGGGAGACACCTAAAGTTGATCTCTGGCACGCATGCACGTACGCACTCACACACACACACATGCATGCACACACACACGCACCCACAGGCATACATGCACACACTCATACACTTAAAAAATGCAAAGAAAAGTAGAGTACAGAGGTCAAACTGGTTTAGAAGTATCCTGCTTTCTCTTGAGTCCCAGGACTTCTCTGCTCCCTCTGCAAGCAAAACCTCCACAGAATTTATGTCTGACATTTGTAGTTTTCCTGCAGCGAAGAATTCAAACCATTGATGTTTCCATTTCTACCCCTAAGACGATGACAGTTGGACAAAACGTGAAGCTTTGGTCTTCTGGCGACTCCCAGCTAGCCCTGCGGCGATGTCCTTGTTTAAATTGTCTTATAACAACTATTTCCATCCTCTCTGTCACTTTAGACAGATTTACAGTCTACGCTCCTAACAACACATAAAGAAGGAGAGCAGGTAACTGGGGATCGTGCCACAGACCATCCTGGCAGCGGAGGAACTGTAGGTTGCTGGGGGGATTTCTTGTAATAGAAGAAAACCACTGGTCTATCTCCAAGTATCTTGTAACCTTAGGGCCAAGGAGTTTGACGCTGAGGTGTGAGGCTTGGTCAGGTATGATGCAGAATGTTAGACCTGCAGGTTGTGATTTTGCTCTCATAATCTCCCATATATTAAAGCCTAATATAATTAGGTAACCTGACTCTGAGTGTCTACTTAATGAAAACATGAAACACTCTGAAGTAAGACAAATGCATTCCTTCTAACTGATTAAGGGGAAGTGGAGTGGAAGTGCTAATAACAAGTCTTCACTCATTTAGGCATGCAAAAGTACAACAAATGCTAACCAATACTTTCTGAATGCTAGCCCCTGTATTTCACTCACTAAGTCCCACCAAAACCTCATAACCCTATTGAGTAAGTAATATTAGGAACCTCATTCTCCAGATAAGGATACTGTACGATTAAACAGCTTGTACAAAACTACAGAACTCCAAAGCCAAGATTCAAACACAGAATCTAAAACTTACGCAGCAGTGATAACATGTAGTCAGGGTCCCAGCTCAAGGTCTAGTGGGAAAGATTTCTTGATTATTACACAAAGCTCATCTGCAGGGAATAGAAGACAGTCATTTTTAGGGAGTCGGGATGGAAGAACACTGGGTCAAAGGCTCCTGGAAAGAGTTCTACTGGAAATGTGGCCAAAATAAACAAGACTATGGGATTTCACAAAACAGAGAGAAAGAAGACATTGTAGGTGGAGGAAACATATGAACAAAAGCAAATAGCAGATGTACATGTTGATTCTCACCACTGTGCTTCAGTAAAGAAGTGTGGCCACATGAATAGACAGTGACTCTGCAGATGTCTTGAGAAGTTATAGGGTCTGAACCTGCCATTGGCAGAAGAGATGATAGGAGAGAGATCTATGAGGCATCACCAAGGAAGGATGCCAAGAGTTTTGTTACTGTTTAAGACTAATTCAACCTGTATTTCGGGTCCCTGTCCCATATCTGGCAGAGAGTAAACTCTCAGGTCATTGTCTTAGTTAGGTTTCTATTGCTGTGATAAAACACCATAACCAAAAGCAACATGGGGAAGAAAGGGTTTATTTCACTTATACTTCCAAATCACACTCTTTCTTATCCAAGGAAGTCAAGCAGGAACGTGAAGGCAGGAACTGAAGCAGAGGCCATGAAGATATTGCATCCAGGACCATCTGCTGAGGGATAGTACTACTTGCAATGATCTGGGCCTTCTCATATCAATCACTAATCAAGAAAATGCCCCCACAGACTTGCTCTCAAGTCAGTTTGGTAGGTGAATTTTCTCAGTTGAGGTTTTCTCTTGTCAAATGACTCTATCTCATATCAAGTTGACAAAATACTAACCAGGACAGTCATATCTGCTGACTGAATAAAGGAGAAAATAAAAACGCTTATAAGACCCAAAGATGGGTGAGGAAGTAGAGTGGATATAAACAATTTAATAAAAAGCAGAAATGAATAATTCTGAGGTTTTACAACATGGGTAAATGGTAGAACCATGAACTTTGATCCAGAATTCAAGCAAAGCAACTCATTTGGAGGCTTTCCAGGCAGAGGTGAGTCAAACGAGGCCAGGATGGTGCTTCCAGAGCTCTACTGAAGCACACGGTGGTTCATTTCTTAACTAAGCATTCTCTGATCCTCTTACTTGTTCAGTAAATGACAAACATGTATCATCTGTGCCACAATGATGGGCATGAAAGACTTGTCAGAGAAATGGTCTAATCGTTGACCTAGACGTAAACTGAATGCAGAGGTGCACATCTGTATAGTCAGTATCAGGGAGATAGAGACAGGCAGCTCTGTGGAATTCGCGGACTAACCAACCTACATGAATCAGTGACCTCCAAGTTCAATGAGAGATCCTAACTAAAAAGTAAAGTAGAGAACTTGGAGCTGGAGAGATCATTCAGGGATTGAGAGCAAGGGCTGCTC